CAGGCATACTGAGCCCTAGGGAGCGGGCAGGACAGGGCAGTGGGGCTGCCCGCGGGCGCACAGACCCCCATGGAGCGGGCAGGACAGAGCAGTGGGGCTGCCCGCGGGCGCACAGACCCCCATGGAGCGGGCAGGACAGGGCAGTGGGGCTGCCCGCACTTGGCGCCCTCGTGTTTAGCGACCTGCAGGAAACACGTGTGAAGTGCGAGGTCTGATGCGTCAAAGCCTTTTATAGACATGCAAAGGGGCATTTTGGTTTTCATCATGCCTCATGCCTGCTTTCCACGCAGAAGAGGCTCCTACCACTGCGTAGTTTTAGAGCGCAGGAGTGTACTAAAATGCCCCGGAGGGCGAAAGGAACGTAACAGAGTGTGGTAACATACATAAAGACATGAGATCCATGCCGAAATACCTCAGATAAATCTTAGCTGTCACACAGAAATTGTAGGCCTCTGAGCAAAACAGATACTCCAGCTCCTCGCTTTCTTTGTCCTTAAGAGGGCAGCATTACGATACAATGCAGCACCCCTGCAAGTTAACTTTGAATCATCGGCACCTTAATTTATTTTACTTTCCTTAAACTTCGATTTTATTTTCCTAAGGCTGTGTAAGTTGACTTTGTCAGTTGAGTTTTGTCCCAACTATGCGGTTGCAGCCATTTGCCTATTTAGGCAAAGGTTATAAGAGTTTAGTTAAAAAAAGGAAAGAGCCCCTCATATTGCTACAGAAGAGTATGCAATAGTGATATGTGAAAATAAAACAATTTGAACAAACATGAAGCATTTTCATTTTAGACAAGTAACACCTTCTCACACAAAAGTAAGCTCAGAACATTCTAGATTTTTCCCTGTTTCTTTTTAAAAACAAATGAAAATACTTTTGGAGTAGAATAAATCAAATTAAAAAGTGTTTGGGTTCTTTTTATATTATATTTTAGCACACTGGTAAGAGCTAGAACCTCAGGTTTGCACTTGATTTAGCTTTTAACCCATGGAGTTATTCAGTGTACAGGTAGAAGAGTGCCTCATAGCCCAGCATCCCCATCTTGCGCTGACAGAGTACCTCCATCCCCACTGAAGCATGATGCCTGCTCTCCCC